TTACATATGTATGTACATACAAACGAGCACCAATTAATTTTATTTAAAGAAATGGCGTGTCGTCTATTTCCGCTGTAGCAAACGTAGTACATAGGGCGACATCTAGATGTCATCTACCTCGCCCTATTCACTACAGATGTTGCCCTATGCACTATGCTTTTTTATAGGAACTTTTCAAAGCAAAGGTTTTATGGTGTCGGACACACAACATTGAAAGTTTCTGGATCCACAACATTGAAAGTTTCTGGACACACAACATTGCAAGTTGATAAAAGCGTTGTAACAAAATAGCGGATTGAGGGTAGCCGCGCAAAGTTTCCCTTTTTGTGCAAATGGCTTTCCATACAAATTTTGATATTTCATTTGCGAGGGTTTAAAATTGCACAGTTTGCCCAGTTTGCGAGAGTTTTGCGCTTTTAAATGAGTACCCTTATTATGTTGTATATTTTATTAATTTTATTGTTCGAGTATCGAATTTACCCATCCTTATTTCATTGTATTTGTGTATGCCCTATTTCATTGTATTGTCCATGATACAAAAATGGAAGGTAGTTTCATTTATTGACATTCGTTGTTGTTGCCGACCACTTGACTTTAACAAGTTATGACTAGCAGCAAAATTTTCGTTTCTTGAAAAAGTAAAAAAAAACAAATTTAAGTTAGTGAAGTTGGATGAAAATATTAAAAGAAAATTCTTGCGCGTTTCCAAACTGCAAGGATTCGGTACACCTGTGCAAGGGTTCAAAAATAAGGTTGTTTGCTTTATATTATCAAACAAACAAGAATGTTTGTTGCCCCTTATCGAGAAACTTGGGTCCGGTTTAGTTATTTGCACAATGATTTTCAGTTGGTGTGTCCAACGCATAACCCGAATATAAAAACTTTTACATACACGTCTAATCAAAGGATTAAACTTTAGATACTTTAAAATAAATCCTTCAAATTTGCGAGCAATAGTTTATTAATAAATTCGGGTTGCACTATGCACTTTTTTGTAAAATTCGATTTGGGCTTTGCCCAAAAATACTGTGGATGGCGTAGCCGGAATTATATGCACAAGAAATGTTGTATGCCTTTGTTATGCGGAAGCCCCTCTTCTCCGGCAACTCAGAAAGGAGAATTAAACTTAGAAAGGGTTGTAAGAAGCAAGGGCAACTAGGGACGTTCCGATACCATCAAAGTATCGATACCTACTCAAATGAGTTTACTCAAAAAGCTATTTCGATACTACTTATATGAGTCAAGCGAATGTATCGATACCTACTTATATCGATAATTTTTCATCCTTTTAAATTCAACAAAGCGAAAGTAATTTTCAGGCGTTTTCTGTGACATAAAGCTTTGCGGCACCTGAGTGGAAGATCGACCTATCTCGGAAGAAAGTTCGAAAACGACCTATCTCAGAAAACTTTTCAAAAGCGCCCTATTTCAGAATTTGATTGGAAAACGCCCTATCTAAGAAAACTTTTCAGGAACACTCTATTTCAGAATTCGGTTCAAAAACGCCCTATCTCAAATATTTTCAATATATTTGCAGTTGAGGTATCGATATGTATATTTCTTCTTTAGTAGCACTTAAAGTAATACGATTACTTAGACAAAAAATTCAACCTTTGAAAGGACCCCACAAAACATTACGGCTATAAAGATTGCTTACACTTTGTTGTGGTATCACTAACTTTGTAAAAATATATCCACACTTTAGAATTTGGCGGTGTAATTGCTTAAAACATTTTTTTTTTATTAAAACGAAGCAACTATTTTCCATAGAAAAAATATTATCGACAGGATATGGCACTTTCTCAAATCGATTCGATACAAGTACTTTTATTTCGATACCAAGTAGGTATCGAAACAAAAGTATCGGGTACATACTCGTATTTACTTGTATCAGAACATCCCTAAGCGCAACAGGTAGTGGACCCAACAAAATGCATGTTTTCAATGGCTTGGAAGAAGCTGTTATTGCATTAACTGGATTAAGAACCAGTTCTTCAGGCATAGGAGGTTGTGGTTGAACAATTCAACTAGAAGCTGACATAGATGCGTCCATGGTTAGTATGCCCGACAGCTCCGCATATCTTTGTGAATTTACTTCCATAGCGCGCTCTTACTATGCTGCTACATCGGCGTAACCAGAATGAAATTTAGGGGGGGCTCGACCCTATTAAGCTAGCATTTCAGGGTACTATTTTATATATATATAAGGAAATTTTGAAAGTTAGGGGGGGGGGGGGGGGGGGGTCGAGCACCCCCTGCCCCTACCTGGCTACGCCCATATGCTGCTATAATTGCAAATACAATGGAATCCATCGTTTCCTTCAAAATATGTAAAAACAAACTATTTTACCATAAATAAGCTCTTGATGAATGTTATTTTAATTCCTTTCCACTTTGTTTTCCTTCATACAGCTCTCTTCGAAAAACAACTGATAGCTGGCTGCATAGGTTTCCGCAAGGGTTGCAGCATGTCGATTTTTCGTTTTTCGTAACGTAGCTACGAATTACGAAAATTCGGGTTCCAGAACAAGGGTGTTAATTGGGTATTCGGTAACTCCCACCATTGTTTTATTTTCGTAAATTACCGAATATATCATTACCAACATAACGAGGTGGCAAGTCTGATAAATGTTTATAAGCAAAAAAACTTCACATCAGCTGATTCGAAAGTAATTTTGACCAGAAAAAGAATAAGGGGCGTTCGAAGTTGAAAGTGTTACGGAGTTACCAGATAACGAATTAATAAATTAACGATGATAGTCTGAATACCCTTGATCTAATGTAGTTTGATGACAAATTGCTGACGCAAACTTTTTTTAAACCTCTAAAAGATGTGTCGTTATCCGTGGAAGAGGGAAGAGGTCGAATTAAAATTATGCCCTACAACTTGTAACAGTACCAATTTTTGGATTCTCGGAATTTTGTGATAAAGATGTGGCGCTGCTAAAAAATATATATTCATAAATATAAGCGGGTAACTATGTATTTGTGACAAGAATTATCTACATAATATAAAACCACTGCAGTTTCATTTTATGCAATTTTTTTTTATAGAAAAATACATAAGTAAGACAGTTCGATTATTTGTACAATGATTTTGGGTTATCGTGTCCAAACGCGTTACCCGAATCAAAAAATTTTGATATTTGCGTCTAGTCAAAGGATTAAGCTTTAATTTAAACAAATATTTCGGTTTGATATGCACTTTTTTGCAAATTCGGAGGTGGATTTTGCGCAAAAATACTGTGAATGGCGTAACCGGGGTGGGACTTATGAGGTTAAGGGGGCAGGGAGGCGAAGAAACTTTACTTAAAGTTTATACTGTGCTCTTTCTAATGAGTTTTAGGTGACAAACCCCTTGCCTCTACGTTGCACACCAAAAAACGTTGTACAAATAACCGAACATTTCCTCGCAAAACATTAAATCCTCTGATGTATTGTTTGATTGCTATCAATGTGGCAAGGAAGTTCATAATTTTTTACAATTTATGAAGCTTAAAAAACTTATTTTTTGTCAAAAATTTTGAAATGAAACTACCTTTTTTTTGTATCGTGATATTATCTAAGCCAGTTCATTGTACGATGTCATAGACCAAGTTCCACGACTTTTGTTCACAGTGTTTCCCCATTAAAAATATGGAATTTGAATTGAACATTTTATACCTAGGCACTTATTTTCTGTCCTTGTTCTTTTTTATTTGTTACCAGAAGAGTAATTATTAGAATTTATCCAGCGTTATATGCACGTATCTAAAAATAACAGTTATATTAGAAATCACGTACGTTCAATAATAGAAACATCATTAAGACGCAGATCGTTGAAATATATATTTTCACTGTTATAACAGGTAGGAGACTCCCGGCACAGTTGCGTTTCGAATCTAGCCATTATATGTAACTACTTAACACAATTTCCGTGTATATTTTTAATCGTTAAATATTTCTCCGTGTTTATTTCAAACTTGCATTATTTCCGCTTATTTCTCGACGTTCACATTCAAACACTCTTAAAGGAATACAAAAACAAGTGAAATGAATATCTCAATCTATGAAAAGTTTGAACTGCAGAACTTAATTTACTACACTAGTACCACCCGCCTTCACAAATTTAGCCAATCAAAAGTTTCTTATGGCGACGATTGAAGTTGATTGGTGGATTTGCAAGAGCTGCAATGTAAGTATGTACATTTTTATATGCACACATACATACATATCGTCCGGTTTCTGCCTTAATCTCGTATCTGCAATAAAGGTATTTTAGAGAGTGTAGGAAAAAATGCTTACTTTCTTCCCCTAGGATACAATAAACGCATTTTTTACTTAATATTTCTGGTTCCACTAACAGTAGTGAGCACCCTCATTAGGTCTTTGTTCTATTTTCAAACAGTGTGACGCTTAAACAGATGTTATAAGTGGTAATATTAGTTTTCCAAAAAATTGTAGATACGTGGTTAAGGCAGAAACGGGACAATATGTAATTTTGTCGTCGTCGAATCGTTTGTTCGTGCGATTGCTTGCTTCAGTGTTGGCATTTTTGGTACAATTGTCCTTTTTTGATACAATTTCGTTTACAATATACTTTCCTACTACGCAGTACTTTTCAGTACAATTTTGTGATGAATACTATAAATATAGAGCTCTGAAAATTCACTGCGGGAAATTTTATGACGTAGAATACGTCTTACGTTTCGATATGGAGACTATGCTCAAATGTTATAGTTGTAATTTTTAGAGCTTCACGAAAACGCTTATTGCACGAGAACTAATGAAGCATTTTCAAAGAAAAGTGTGGCGTTTCAAAGATAAAATTCAAAGCCCATCGACAGATTAATTTTTGTAAGTGACCAATTCGGTTTCCGTCGTAGAAAAAACGGTAAATATTGGCTTATTTTGGGGTCAGTTTTGAGCCTTTAAAATGCCCTAGCAACTTATGATTTGCAGATATACCTTCATTTTCAGGTATAGCTTATTTGAAGAAATAGAAATATTACCGTGTAAAAATTTTATATAAATTCAACAAATTTTGAGCATCTTAAAGCGAAAAATTGTGGAAAAAATTAGCAATTTTTTTTTTATTATCAGAATGCTCGAAAACCGCTCGAATGATTTTGTTTTGTTAAAAAAATATTCAAGTTTTTGCGAAGATTTTTTTAATGAAGAAAGTGAGCAACACCTATGTATATCAAAAAAATATAGATATCTACTGATTTATCGCAGTTTTCGTATTTCTGTAAATTACCGTTATATGGCAGGTGAGCGTGGTTATTGCCCGATTTCAAAGATTTCTTAGCTAGACCCCGGCAAAGGCGCGTACCGAGTTTGATAAGGATTGGTGAAGCGGCTACTGAGATACAGCATTTAATCATAAGCGGGCGGGGTCTCGCCCATTTTCCTAAAATTTCATAACAATGTTATTTTTTACCACAATTCTGCTCCACATACTAATTTTCAACAATTGCATCCAATATGTACTGAAATATCGCAGTTTTTGCATTTTTCGAAAATACCGTTATAGGGGAAGTGGGCGTGGTTACGGTCCGATTTCGCCCATTGTCAATACCAACCAACCTTGGATAAAGGGCAACCTCGAGTTATCGTGTACACGGACAGACGGACGGACGGACGACCGGACAGACAGACATGGCTTAATCGACTTCTCTTCATTCTGATCATTTATGTATACATTTGTCCATATCTATCTCGATTCGTTTTGGCTTTTACAAGCAACCGTTATGCGAACAAAGTTAATATACCTTTGTGCACAAAATTAAAAAGTCGATACAATTTACAGTCGAAAAGTACAGCTTTGTATAGATTTCGTACTGAAGGAACAATTTAATTTCCCAACACTGGCTTGCTCTAAAACAGTGGTCGGCAAAACTGAAAATGGGATTGTGTAGGTCGCAGAGCAATTCGACCTACAGTGGTGTAAAAGAGAATCGCATGAGGCAAAGTAAAAAAAGTAATTTAAAAGTAATGATTTTGTTTTTTCGTTACAAAATGATTATTGTATGTATTTACCAGGGATGCCAACTCATTTTAAAATTTAAAAAATAAATTAATAAAATAAAAGTTAAGTCTGTGGAAAATTAACAATAAAATACTTTTTTTCGCAAAATCTATAAAAGACGTTTTTATACAAAAAACACTGGGTAACAATTATTCGTCGCCACCCTACTACTAGCTAAAATCCGGCTGGATCTCGATTATTGAAGATTGAATTTAAAAATCTATTTCAGAAATTTATTTATTTTTTGTATTGTTATAAACCAATTTAATGTTAGATAATATAATAATAATAGATTGGCGCTTACACATATGTTAGAAGGATTATAAATGAGTTTTCTAATTTTGTACCAAATGGCCAAAAAAGTGTACTAAATATTAAATTATTATTTGTGTTTCTTCACCTTAAGGTCGATTTGATTTGATTTGAGATTTGTAGCTGCCATGCCTCAAAATAAGAAATATCCCAATGACTAAAATTCTTACTATTGGCCCTTGATATAAAGATGTCCAGTCAAAGGTTCCTGAAGAGATCCAAACGTCACACGCTGTCAAACAATTTATATGCTTATATGAAAAAAGCGAATCCCCATTTTTTTTTTTATCTAAAGCATCGTGATTGATATGTAAGGTTAACGTCTAAAATTTCAAAATAATGTTTTTAATTAAGTTTAGAATGTGTAAAATGCAAAGTATACCCAAGACTGCAGTCTCGTTATGAAATGAGACGGATATGACCACTGATTGATAAAGGCCGGAAAACTGGCGATTTTCGTTCGTCAAAACAGGCATGTTTGCACAAGCTCAGAATTCTTCCAGGTAATCTTCTAACAATTGGGACCGATTTTCTATTATATCAGACATCTATACGCACACATATCGTATCTGAACTTTTTTTACCAACTTCGATTTTCGATTTTCCTTCCCCTAAATCACCCAAATGACGCACTGTGAGGTGTCTACATATATTTTTAACCGACTTCCAAAAAATTAGGAGGTTATCATTTCGTGGGAATATATTTTTTTTTATGTATGTTACCGCATAACTTTGGACCACGTCAACCGATTTCGGTAATTCTTGCATTCTTCTTTTTGCATCGGAAAGGTAGTATCTCAGAGGTGGTCCCATACTAATCTGGTTAAGATACGATCAGTGGATCATGAGATATATATATATACAAATTTTTTTTATGAGAATTGAAGTCGACTTTTTTTGCTAAAAATTACTTGTTTTGGCGGTTAAAGTTATTGGTTTTGAAAAAAAATGTATAGGAGGTCCCCCCTAAATTTCGTTCTGGCTACGCCCATAGATCTTGAATTTGCATATTTGTGTGCATTTTTAAATTCACAACAATAAAATGCAAACGGTTGCCATGGTAGCAAGCATAAAATTACCAAGACCAAGACCATTTACTCAATATCCCGAACAGCCACATAAAGTATTTTTTAAGGTAATTTTTAATCGTACATACATGTGTAAGCGAACACTGTCGCCTACGAAAATAACCAACGGAGCTCCGCTATGTTGCTTCGTTGCCGTCTCAGCCGGAGTATATACCAGGGGTGGGCAAGGCCGAGGCCGAAAAGAGCCTGTAAACTCTAATGCTACAAAGAGCCACAAAAAAAAAAACAGACATTTTTTTTTTCTAAATAAAATTATTATTAGAAATGAAAAACATTAATTTTATTATTATTCTAATGTACGTAAGATAGATACTAAAGAAAATTCAAAAGGTCCCTTTGGCCAAATTTTCAAAATCTGGTTTTACGTCAGTTAAAGCCGTTCGAAACACTTCTGTTAAATGTTGGTTAGTCAATTGTGAACGGTATTTTGAATTTACGAATTTCATTGTAGAGTGCAAAGACTCACAGTTATACGTTAAACCAAAAATTGAAAATATACTTCACGCAGCTGTTTTCAACAGCGGATATTTCAAATCTAGTACTTGTTGCCGGAACTCAAGCAATGGCAAAGCTTTATGTTGCATTCCCAGTGCCTTATCTTCTTTAAATTCCAAAAACTCGCAACACTTTTCTTAAAAAGGAGTATTTCGGATATTGTAAATTCATCCTCAATTATGTTACATAAAAAAGGTTTATGAAGTATGCAAACGTACATTTAAATAATTTCAAATCTGCAATTCTTTTTTCAAAATCTGCTTTTAAATCATATAGTTTTGCGACATAGGGGTCCAATTTATCCTCTTTGACATGTGCAATATTTTTTTCTAGTCATGGAAATTGATGAAATATTCTTTTTTAGAGATCATGTATAAAAAGATGTAGCTTAGCTTCAAAACTTAAAAAAAGTAAGTGCGCCTGGGCCACACTGTAGAAGTGAAACTTACGTTACTTATCTATCTATACATACACACATCTGCTTTTGCTTAAAGTTATATTTTTTTTATGAATGTAGATCCCTACCTCTACCACTGTTCGTTTTAATAACATTCATGTTATTCTGTTTTTCCATTATCTTCATTTTTATCTTCATACTATATCGATATAACGTCCAATAAAATATCGATAACAAAATCGATGACAAATTCGATACAAATTTCAATAGCAACATCGATAATGCCCTTGGTAGATAAATCGATTAGAAATCGTTGAATATCGATAACAAAATCGATAAATATCGATAACAAAAACAAAATCGATAAATATCGATAACAAAAACAAAATCGGTAAATATCGATAACAAAATCGATAAATATCGATAACTAAATTGATAAATATCGATAACAAAATCGATAAATATCGATAACAAAATCGATTTATATCGGTACCAAAATCTATAAATATCGATACCAAAATCGATAAATATCGATACCAAATTGATAAATTTTGCTAGCAAAGTCGATAAAGATCGATAACAAAATCGATAAATATCGATAACAAAATCGATAAATATGGATAACAAAAGCGATACAAATATCGATTATTTAATTGATAATTCTCGAAAATCTCTAAAATCCCAAAATAGTTCC